CCCCCCCCCCCCACACACACACACACACACACACACACACACACTTGGGCTTCCCTCCGCATTTGAATGGGATTACGGCCATCTGCAGACTCTTCAGGAACAAAAGTGTGCGTTTCTGGAGAAGTCGTGTTCTCCGGGGGTTGAAGTGTCATGTCAGCATGCTAACACTCACCGCAGCGATCCAGAGCCTTTAGAAGATCATCATGCTAGAACCTAAAGCTAAATCATGATTATTCTCAACCCAACTACTGCATTTTAGATAAACATAGAAATAGTTTAATCTACGTCACCAATAGCACTATATAGTGTTTAAAAGTGAAGTTTGGAGTCTGTAAGATTTTTTTGAAAGAAGTCTCTTGTGCTCACCAAGGCAGCATTTATTTAATCAAAAATACAGTAAAAACTGAAATATTGTGAAATATTATTACAATTAAAAAAACTGCTTCTATGTGAATATCTGTTAAAATTTAATTTATTGCTGTGATCAAAGCTGAATATTCAGCATCATTACTCCAGTCTTCAGTGTCACATGATGCTTCAGAAATCAGTATAATATGCTGATTCTTATTATTATCAGTGTTGAAAACAGTTGTGCTGCTTCATATTTTTGTGGAAACCATGATACGAGTTTTTCAGGATTTATTGATAAATAGAAAGTTCAAAAGAACAGCATTTATTTGAAATGGAAATCTTTTGCCACATTATAAATGCCTTTACTGCCACTTTTGATCAATTTAATGCATCCTTGCTTAATAAAAGTATGAATTTCTTTCAAAAATTTATTTTTCTTTCTTACTGACTCCACACTTTTGAACTGTATTGTATAATATAAAATATTTATATAAACATTTAAAAGGTAAAATATGTTTATTAACATGAAAACTTATTTATGTATTTATTTATTCATGGGAATGCCTGAAATCATCCTATAATGTATAATTAAATTACTGCATGAAATATGTAAGTATTAAGTATTTTAAGTGCACTTCAAAAAATGGTGTAGGATTTGCTTTGAAATAATTCTTTGAAATAGTGTGTAGATATAAATGGACACAATCCAGGTCAGAGAGCTCCTGTCAGTGGGTTGGGTCGCGCTCATTTCCTGTTCTATCTCTGGAGCTCTTGGAAGTCCAAACATATACACACTGTACACCTGAACACACACACGCACACACACACACACACACACACACACACCCTCGACAGCTCACCAACACCCTTCCTCATTTTCCTGTTATTCACCTTACAACTACAGTATAAGGTTATGTATATGCTAATAATAATAATAATAAAGTGAAACATGGCCTGTATGACAGCAGCACAGCCTGCTATGCTAACAAACGTTCGTTTATAGGCACACTACCCATCAAATGTTTGGGGTCAGTAAGAGTTTTTCTAAAGAAATTCATCATATATGCATTAAATTGATCAAAAGTGGCAGTAAAGACATTTATAATGCTACAAAGATTTATATTTCAAATAAATGCTGTTCGTTCGAACCTTCTATCAATTAAAAAATCCTGAAAAATAAAATTCAGTTTCCACAAAAATATGAAGCAGTACAACTGTTTTCAACATTGATAATAATCAGATGTTATTTAAAAAATCCTGAATTCAGTTTCCACAAAAATATGAAGCAGCACAACTGTTTTCAACATTGATAATAATCAGATGATCAAATCATATTAGAATGATTTCTGAAGATCATGTGACACTGAAGACTGGAGTAATGATGCTGAAAATACAGCTTTGATCACAGGAATAAATTACATTTTAACAGATATTTACATTTTTACTGCATTTTTGATCTAAGAAATGCAGTTTTGGTGAGCAAAAGAGACTTCTTTCAAAAACATTAAAAACCAAACCCAGACCTTTAAATGGTAGTGTAGTATATATATATATATATATATACACTGTATATGGATAATATTCATACTGTATATGGATAATATTTACACTGTGTGCTAAATAAAAATGATCTACTTTAATTTTAATTGTTTTTTTAAAATACATTTTCTATTTAATATTGGAAAGTAATCTATTTCAGTTTTTGTAACAACATCGCACCTTGTTTTCATTTAGTAAGTAATTCAGAAACCAGACAAACACAAATCCGATGATTTTTTTGTTCTTTATAATGGTATATTTTTTTCATACAAACTCTACAATGTTAACAGAATATTTCATCATCCAGTTTTAAAACATCTTATATACACTGATATCCACATAAACACACATATACATATATTTTACACCCAGCAGTCACATTGGTTTGTTTATAAAGACATTAATAACAAACTCAGGCAGCATAAAATATGGCAGCTTCGCACGTTGGCTGGCTCTCAATGTTTGGTTGATCCGTTCATTTGTTTAGTGCACATACATCGCTGACAAAAATAGATATGAAGCACAAAATAAAGACAAAAGCAATAGCAGATAACCAGAATTCGATGGAGGTCAGTGTTGGCAGTCCAGCCTGAGACCAGCAGTCTATGTTTTGGTCAAGTCCACAGCATGAGAGAGTGTTATTTCAGACAATAAATTCTCTTTATAGATTATATCGGCAGTACATTTATTTAAACTACAAATAAAATCCAGATTTGTGAGGATACCCTGTTAATGTGCGTTCACACTGACAACGGTTTAACCGTGAGATTGAAGCAATTACATATTCAGCATCACATGACTGTCTGCACTCCCATTGGTTACTCCGCCACTGCTCATTTGCATAAAGTTAAACTTTGTCCAAATGCAAAAGTCGAAAATGAATGGCATTCGGTTGCAAATCGCTGTCAGTGTGAACGCAATTTAGTTTTTTCCGTAACAGAAAATAAAAACATCTTTCATCAGAGTAAAAGTGCTCTGAACGTGTGACAGTAAGTTTATATCAGCTTGATAACATTAGCAACATCAAAGCAAACTAGTGGTGACGACTTTCCGTACCCACTGTATATATATATATATATATTAAAAAAAAAAATTATACAAATGACAAAAACACACAAAAACCCCTAAAATTTCAACTAAAATTAAATGGAAAAAAAATAAAACAAAAAAAACAAAATCTGAAATAAAAATTATTTTGGGAAAAAAAATCTATCTATCTATATATACACTAGGGCTGTCAAAAAAAATTTGAATTTCGAATATTCATCGAATTTAAAATAAAAATCCACATTTTAGATGTGCGTCAGGCAGCCTTATCAGTGGAGCACGAAATGCGACGACGATGTAAGTGTCATTGCATTTGAATGCTTTTGTTAGTCTATCCAGTTGAACCCACCAGATGCGGCGCTGCTGCGTTGTTCATTCAAAATATTGCGGGAAAAAAGAACATCAATGCGGAGATGATGTTGTTTACGTCAAAACCGAAACCAAACCGTTCACACAGAACGCATATTTATCACATTTTCTAGAGGGACATCTATCACGGTTGCACTCGCGTCTCGCACAAGAGCAAGGCTCTGCATGTTTAGAAAGCCATGGAAAATTAATATAAGTTTAACTTTTTAAAAACATGCCTCAAGATTTTATGGCGGTTTTTCTCCATCCTACTGCATCTTAAGTTTTTAAATCAAGAAAGTACTCTTTGTGATTGGTTTTCGGTCCTTTGTATTAAACTATACATACATGCATGATTCTTTCGTTTTGTTTCTAATTGTTCAAACAACTTTAATTATATAAGGTTTATAAACATTATTTTAAACATTATGCACTTTTTTCAAAGATAGTCGTGTTATTTTATTATGCTTTGAAGAAACGTGCATAATATTTTGCTCGATGCGCCCTCTTGTGGCCTCAGGAGAGAAGCCAAAAGCTTTTTCCCCCCTAACTGAAATTATGCCTTTTAAATTCGAATATTGATAATATTTAAGTACAAAATTCTAATTTAGTTTTTCAGCCATTTTGACAGCCCTAATATACACATATATAGACATTTAAAAAAATGAATAAAAATGACAAAAACACAAAAAAATACTAAAACTTCAACTAAAATTAAATGGAAAAAATAAATCCAACATTTATCATTTAGTTTAACTTGATGTACTAAAATAACTAAAACTAAAACTAAAATAATAAAAACTATATAGACATATTTTTAAAAAACTAATACAATTTACAAGAAACACAACAAAAATGTACAAAATTGTAACTAGAAAAAAAAAATCTAATTCAAAATATTAATAAAAACATAAAATATCTTAATGCTACTAAAATAACACTGGCGGTGTGTAATACCTTGCAGACAAAAGGTCTGACCCCTACTTGGGTTTGAACCTGTGACCTTTAAGGTTGCCAGTCCAAATCCTTAACTATAAACCACCAGAAAGTTTGGCATAGAGGTTCAAGATCTGGATTGGTAGCTGAAGGTTGTAGGTTTGAGGTTCTTGCTATCCAAGAGCCAGTACCATTACAGGAAACGCCCTGCTGATTGCTCTGGATAAAAGCGCATTTATCCTAAAAACTAGAACAAAAAGTCAATTCAAATACTCACCAAAGTCACTAGTGCACACAGCCATCAGGATCTCAGTGTTATTGCACGGCCTGCAGGCTCCTGTGAGAGAAAGAGAAGAGAACATGAACACCAAAAGATGAGGCGTAACGCGCAGCTGTTACTTTAACGGCTCTTCGGTGGAGGTGTGATGATGTAAATGAGCACCTGATAGATAGGTGTGAGCCATGTCACCTGATCAAAGCTCATGAGAGAGGTGTGTGTGTCCTCATTCAAGATCCCAACACCCTTCCCTCTTCCTCTGTAACGTTCATCTGGCTGATCTATATGAGCTGGTAAAGCAAGAGCTGATCTCACAAAACCCACCCACACAGAAACTAAACTGACTCATTCTTCAAGTTTGTGTCGTTTTGAAGATGCTGGATGTTTGTATATATACAGTACGTTTACAAAAATGTACCATGTTAACTATAGTTTCTTGGCTTTAAGTCAGGGTAGATGGCTTCATTAATTTGAAACCAATGAAAACAAGGCTTTGGTGGAAAGACAATAGGCTGCATTAATCTAAATGTCTAAGCTTTTTGTTTATTTATTTATTTATTTTTACTTTATATTTGTCAATATATATGTCCAATTAAATGTAGAAATTAAAATATGTAATATTAAATATTTTAATAAACAAGATTCAGAAAGTGTCTAAAAGATTTCAAATTAATTTGTGGTGATTTTATTTTTTGTAAAATCACAAAAAATTAATATGTGGTACACATTCTTGAATCAACACTAGTGATTATCGATATACTATTATATTTTAATACTATTTATATTTTCCATTTTCATTTTAGTTAAAGTTTTAGTAATTTTGTCTTTTTTATGCCACTTTTATTTTTATGTCTATATAGGTTTTATCAATTTGTATTTCATTTTAATTTCTTTTAGTTATTTTAGTACATCACGTTAAACTAAATGAAAATGAAAAAGAAAAGTTTTTATATTTTATTTCTGTTAACTTTATTCAATTTACTTTATTTCAAGTAACGATTTGTGATTTTTGTTTGTCGTTTTCACATTTAGTAAATTGTAAATAAAAACTGTTACAAATGTGTCCACTTAGGCTATGTTTACACGACAGCGATGTAGTCAGAAACGGAAAAGTTTTTCCCTTGCGTTTTTTGTTTCATGTATACACGACAACGTAATCAAAATGATTCGCGTTTACACATATCTGCGAAAACGCTGTATTACGTATGCCAGGCCAGTAGCTGCGTTTTTTGTTTCATGTATACACGACAACGTTTTCAAAACGATTCGCGTTTACACATATCCGCGAAAATGCTGTATTACGTATGCCAGGCCAGTAGCTGGCGCTGCCACCTTGTTAGTAAACAGTACCTGTCGGGAAGTGACGATTATATGTTGTATATGCGTCGCGCTTGCCTTTAAAATCGACACGTACTGCGCATGTCTACATACCTAACACGTACTATGCACGCGCATGACGTCACCGTTTTCAAAGATTCCCGTTTTGGGTGTTTACACGGAAACGATAACGGTGGCGTTTTCAAAAACTTGCACTTTGAAACCCGTTTTCAAAAATATGCGTTTTCAGTCCCCAAAACGCCGTTGTCGTGTAAACGAACAGGCAAAACCCATAAAAAGTTTCCCGTTTTTGGCTGAAAATGTCATGTAAACGGCCCCTTAATTTAAAAACTGTGTGTCCATCGCATTCATTTGTATCATTAGAAACATTAATTATATCAGCCATTCTGCACTCTAGATGTCGGCCATATTGGTTGAGCATTACGTAAAGTTGAGCACTATTTAAAGTCATGATTACTGAAAGTTTATTGAATGCATCTCGACCTGATTTCTGCAGGCCGTGCAGCGTCACATGTGCACTTTCAAACAGCAACAGGTGTCTGTGTGGGTGTGAGAGCGAGAAAGTTGTTGGCCCTTTAAAACTTTTAAACATCCTTCCCTGTCTCCTCTCTGCTCCCAAAACTCCCAACAAAAGATCCGCTTTTCAGTTGCACGGTTCCCCCCCAACCCCCCGTTACCACGGCGACTGCGCTCTCATGCAGGTCTCTGAAACGGCTCACTATGGAGACAACCCCCCGTCCCATACGAAGCTTTTGTCTTTCTCTCCCTCCCCCCTCCACTCTTGGCTTTTCCGCTCTTCGGATCCGAACACTCCTCCCCCGTTTCTCACAACTGGCTGGAAGGAGCTTCCCAGCTGAGACGACCTAAAACTATTACTCAAACCTATTGCATTTAAATAACTGCAGTGCAGATCGCAATTAAAAGTGAAGAATTCCAGCTTGTTTGTGTTCCTCGAGAAGCACAAGTCTTCACACGGTGGATCTACATTGAAATGCATTTCTCCAAAGTTCAAGTCTCATTAAAGTTTGAATGAATGCTCTGTTCATGACTGGTTTTGGCTGTCTGGTGCTCCTCGTTCTGCACCCCCATCCACCCAGAGGTCACTCGACTCAAACTTCATCTCCAACTTTGCATAGTTTCATAGTGTTTGGGCATTTTTTTGCAGAACCAACCATTTTTACAGGTTTGCAGAAACATTCAGAACTGCGGATTAATTCACAGAAACGAACCCATGTAGATGATCTTAAAAATACCTAAGAGATGCTAGTAGTATCTTTTGTCAATTTGAGATTATTTTTGGGATAATATCAAATTATAAATGTTAGTTCCCAGTTATATGAATTCCAAGATCGTTCTCGGTTCAGTATTTTAAGAAATGTTTTAGTAAAATAAGTATTTTTTTGCATAGTTTCATATCGTTTACATTGCAATTTTTCATCAAAACAGGTTTGCAGAAATGTTCCGGATTCTCCTGCAGGCTAATTCTCAGACACAAAAAGTACAGAGGAGTTGGTTGTAGTGATTTTTGGCATTTTGAGGTTATTTTTGGGCAGATATTCAATTATAAATGTTAGTTACGACTTTATGTTTAATATTTTAAACAAAAATAAGTGTTTTTTTGCATAGTTTCATAGTTTGCATTGCACTTTTTTGCAGAACCATCAACTCGGGACTCGTTTGCAGTTTAATTCTCAGAAACGAACCCATGTCGATGACCCTAAAAGTCCAGAAGATTTGGTAGTAGTAATTTTTGGCAATTTGAGATTAATTTTGGACTAATATTAAATTCAGAAAGTATTCTCTGTGCTCAACGTTTAAAGTACTTTTTTGTGTGCATAAAATAAGTTTTTTTGTTGTTGCATAAAATAGGTGCTAATTTGCTTGGAATCATTACATACTATGTATATATTACATAAATCACTGCTGTATCTTCCAGAATATTCACCTTTGCTGCCGATTGGGTCTGTGTTGACTGACGGCTGCGCCGTCCAATCCCCTCTCAGCTCGTAGCGAAACGCGGCGATGCGTCTGCTGATGTCCTGGTGAGGTGTGGCTTGCAGGAAGAGTGCCGGTCGTTCTCCAGGCATGGCACTGAAGCAGCGCACACGGGCCGGGCTGGAGGTCTCGTCTCCCACCAGAAGCTCCAGGACTCCGTCCCGCTCCAGGTAGAGCTGAGCCCCGCCCCAGTGCTGATCCGGCTTGATGCAGGCCGACACCGGGCTCCTGCTGGACTCGCCGGGACCCATGGCGCTCCACGGCAGTCGGGGCGACAGGGTGAGACGCAGTGCTCCAGCGGGGTACAGCCACTCCACAGAGCCCTCCGCACACCTCAACCAAACCTGCTCCACGTTCTTCACCGCCTGAGAGAGACCACTGCAGAGATGGAAACCAGAAGAGGTTAACCAGAGAAATCTGAGCAGGCCAAACCACTATGAGTCAGCTTATCCACATTAAATCTGGTGCAAGCACAAAAACAGTCATTCCTTGTGTTGTGTTTTCTCAAAACTTGAGTCTTGAGTCATTTGGCCAGTGCATAAAGTTGCAGGAACAGTTCAGCGCCCCCTACTGGTTACTGGTTACTTTAACTGCAGCCATTTAAACTTTCTGCACTAGTGGAAACATCCTTACACAACCATTAGTACTGCAACCCTCATATCACAGCTTTCATTCTCTTATATTTCTATATTTCCTTATATTTTACAAGCAAAGTGCTTAATTTACCCTTTTTTGAGAAATCGGTTTGGCTTCTAAGCATATTTGCGTAAACAATAACTATACTATTACTAAAAATATCCACAAACTGTATAGATAGATATGCAATGCAATTCAAGCACGTATATATATTGTATATAGAGTATTGCATATTATAACTATTTATACGAAATATTTTATTAATGATTTACGTTACTGTAATTATTTGCATACTTTTTTGCACACTTTAAATTGCACCGAAATCACACAAGATAGCAGAAGAATCAATGCATTCCAGGACAAATTGTAAACATGATACGCAAGATATTAAAACTGATCAGATATAAAGCATTTAACTCATGCATGTTGATGATATTCACCTTCCCCTCCAGCTGCACTGGTCTTCTGAGTAACTGGCCATCGTGAAACCCGTCAGGAATGAAATCCAAAGCGCAAAATGCCTAAAGCCCCAAACCTCCATCACTGCGCAGACGCTGCGGTTCTCCAGAGGCGAGAGTTTCCAAAGCTATAATTAAACCAAACGAAAAGCTACTGATCCCATGCTGTTGTCTGATCCCCTCCAGCTGCACTGGTCTTCTGAGTAACTGGCCATCGTGAAACCCGTCAGGAATGAAATCCAAAGCGCAAAATGCCTAAAGCCCCAAACCTCCATCACTGCGCAGACGCTGCGGTTCTCCAGAGTCCTTCTGTTCGCTGCGTTTCCAAAGCTATAATTAAACCAAACGAAAAGCTACTGATTCCATGCTGTTGTCTGATGTAAAAGACTGATCTGTTCTAAACGAAACCTTCCCTCTCTTTCTGTAGATCAGTCCGTAGCGCGCGAGCCGAGCAGTGAGCTGCAGGTCCAGCGAGCGCAGGAGTTCCAGAGCTGGACTAAACTTTAAACCCCGCCCACTGCAGGAGGCGTGGCTTCGCCGCTGTTAAAGCCCAATCAATGGCATCTCCTCTATTCACACACTGGGTAAAGAACGGAAGAAAGTTTAATCTGCCTTGAACGTATGTGAAGGATTTCGAAACATAACACGTTGTTGGCAATAGCGTCCGAATCATTTTAGCGAATCAATTGGTTCGTACGAACCGAATAAATGATTCACCGGATTCTGGCATTTAGCGTTACATGTTTGTAGTCAAAAATCGCTGTTTATGTCTGTGTTTTCAAATTAGGTTATGTAAACTGCGTTTAATTTGTGTTGTTTAATGTTTCTAAATAAACCACACAAAATAACTGTAGTATTTTCCAAATATTATTAATCCACAAAGTTGTTGTTACTACTAAAAACATCGTTCCAAACTCACAATGTTGTTTACTGCTTTAAAAAAAAAAATCTACAAAAAGAATAATTTAATAGAGTCGGTTCAAAAGAACTTTCGAATAGAATCGGTTCAAAAGAACTTTCGAATAGAGTCGGTTCAAAAGAACTTTCGAATAGAGTCGGTTCAAAAGAACTTTCGAATCCGTTGTTGAATCAATCAATTTTTTGCGTTCCTTCTCCAGCTTTTCAGAGATAAATACGAAAAAGTTAGTTTTTAACACGTTTCAGTTAGCTTTATTAACATGGTTAAAGGATTTACATTTCCATGTAGTCAAAAGTTACATTTTAATGCAATCTATACTATGAAATCCATTTAAGATGGCTGCTGATTGATTTATGTTTGTGATGCAATATTTGTCTAAAAATGAGGGACAAAGTCAGTGCTTGAAAACGGAATAGTAAGCTGCAAGAACTGGTCAAAGCTGAAGTTAAAATCAAGTTGAGAAGAACTAGGATGAAATCACATGATAAATCCACTCCACTATAAAAGTTATGGAGAGAGAGGCAAAGAAAAGGGGGACGGGTGTGGTGGTTGGGGGTAACTGGAGCTCTCTGCAGGACGCCCTGCCCTCCGTTCGGCCCATGCTGAGGGGCTCTTTCATCTTACTGCATTATAAGCAAATCAAATATTCTTTTGTATCACCAATGCAATCTATCTTTATGGATAGTGTGCATGTGTGCGTACGCGAGCATGTGCCTTTGATGTGGTTATGACAGGACCTTTGACATATTCAAAGCCTGATGTCCAGTAGCCCTGCTGAGGTGTGTGTGTGTAGTGTGTGTTTTGTGTTCCCTGCTGATCTGCTGTGTATAAAGTGAGGCTTTTGTTCTCTGGTGGCCACTTCACAGAATAGACACATGAAAGCAAACGTGGACGTGCATGTATGTGTGTGTGCATGCGATTGTGCATGTTTAGTGTTGCTTAGCAAGAGAATTGACTTTCTGAGTCTTCAATTGAGTCTTTTTCCAATATTTGCACACCAAAACAATAAACATGTCGTAAATGAAAAAATATGATGAAGCTAAGTTTGGATTTTCAGTGCAATGTGACAAACAGCTGATGATCCTATTTGGATTGATGTTCACGCATGCATCTTAAAATTAAAAAATTCTGTTGATTTGCAAACAAGGCCCAATATGATGATGCTGAGTTCAAAAATATTAATAAAAACTTTCTATCATGTATGTTTTTCACAAAATAAGAATGAAGATTTTTCATACTATAGCAGCTTTAATGCGCTCATCAAAATAACAAAAGCAGCCAAATAGCAAATGTTTTAATCACAAAAAGAAGCATTCAAAATGACCTTACATTTAACACTGTAAAGGAGTGGAAATCAGGATTAGGCACAACAATAATGTCTTCAGAATCATTCATAAATGTAAAAAAAAAAAATCACCTGAGAATTAAATAGATTTTTGACTATTTTCTTGCAATTGTGAGATATAATCTCAAAATTGCGCAGAAAAAAAAATCGGAATTGTGATATAAAAAGTAGCAAACATTTTTATTTTTTGTTCCATGGTGGAAAAAGAAAAGGAAAAGTCAGATTTATGAAATAAAAATTCACAATTACTTTTTTATGTTTTTTATTTGTGGCAGAAACAGGCCTCCATAAGAGAGCAATTATGCCTCTGTTGCAGTTTTTCTGAGGATTAAAAGATAATACAAGATTTCGTCACCTTACAAAAATGCTACGAAATGCATAATATTTTATGAAAACGTGACATGCTCAAGCTATATTTTTTGTTCCATGGTGGAAAAAGAAAAGGAAAAGTCAGATTTATGAAATAAAAATTCACAATTACTTTTTTATGTTTTTTATTTGTGGCAGAAACAGGCCTCCATAAGAGAGCAATTATGCCTCTGTTGCAGTTTTTCTGAGGATTAAAAGACAATACAAGATTTCGTCACCTTACAAAAATGCTACGAAATGCATAATATTTTATGAAAACGTGACATGCTCAAGCTAATTTTGGTATCAGCACCCCATAATTAGTAAAAAGCAAGAATTGGATTTCATTCAGCAAATATGATTCAGGGCAGTGTTATATATTTCTATAACCATTCATTTAATCAGTAGTCAGTCAACAAATCAGCTTTGCTTCAACTTAATTTCAGCTCTGAATGACTGTTTTGCTTCAGCGGCTCTCCGGCGATCCATGATTGGTCAGTGTTTTCCCCCTCATTCAAGCATGTTCCAATTATTCAAGTCCAATTATTGGTTTCTGTGTGCGTTTGGGGGTGGGATAGTGTTGGTCTCCTCAGATCTTGATCCAGCTGTGTTTGCAGTCTTTCCCCTCGACACACACCAACACACACACACTCACATGAGAAAGAGCAATAAGAACAACAGTCATTTTTCACAGCTCTCTCATAGGGGTTTGCCGGCAAATACAGCATTGTGTGTGTTTCCTCAATGAAGGCACTTCTTATGCGGTCATAATAGAAAGATTAAAGGACATGGAGAGACAGTGAGATTAGAAGAAAGGTCACACACTATTAGAAAGGGCAGAAAGATTGTGTTTTAAGCTTCACTTCCATTGTGTGTAAAGTTACAAAGGATTCAGCTCAAGTTCGTCTAGCCTGTATTTTTTGATTCATTTGTTGAAAACACCGGGTACAACATAATGTACTGTGCAGAGTGGATAAAATAGTACATACCATTCAAATTTAGGGTCAATAATTTTTTTTATGTTTTTGAAAGAAGAGGTTTTTAAGGCTGCATTTATTTGATGAAAAATAAAGTAAAAGCATAAATATTGTGAAATATTATTACCATTTCAAATAACCGGTTTCTATTGTAATATATTGTAAAATGTAATTTATTCCTGTGATGTAAAGATGAATTTTCAGCATCATTACTTCAGTCTTCAGTGTCACATGATCTTCAGAAATCATTCGAATATGCTGATTTGATGCTCAAGAAATATTTCTGATTATTATCGATGCTGAAAACAGTCGTGCTGCTTCATATATATATTTTTTTCAGGATTTTTTGATGAATAGAAAGTTCAAAAGAATTCATTTATTTGAAATAGAAATCTTTTATAAACGTCTTTACTGTCACTTTACTGTCAATTTAATTCATCCTTGTTGAATAAAAGCATTAACTTCTTAAAATAATAATAATAATGATAATAATACTGACCCTAAAATTCTGATTGATAGCTTAAGTAAAAATTCAAGATTATAAATTTTTTTTTTATTTTCATACGTGCATTAATGCTGTGCCACTTTTTAAAATTAGAAATCTATAAAACAAACAAAAAATATTTTTAAACATTTTTGAAGAAAATATCTCATGTTTGCATGTTCAAAAATGATACTATGGTGTTGTAAGAGGGTTGATTGTGCGTTACTATGTAGATGTAAATAGTGTGTTGATTTGTGGTTGCTAGGGTATTCTTGGTGGTTGCTAGGTAGTTGCCTCTCCTTCACTGTAAGTCAATGTGATTTCTTTCACCCGTTTAGCATCTGCCAAGTGTAAGTCTCATTGCCTACATTTACATTTATTTGCATCTGAAGTTCAATACTCGATGTTAGCTGTTTGAATCACTAGTGAAAGTGATGCAAAAGCACATTTAGATAAGAGTGTTTGAGAGCTCCCGTGACCCTTGTGATGTTTCGGGAAAATGAGCACATGTGTAAACGAGAGCTCGAGAGAGATACGGAAGCGGATCCTCCGTACACACAACTGACACTAAACACACACACACTCAGACTGACACATATGTAATAGTGTACTTTCGCAGACACACTACAGCTGTGTGGTCATGTTTCTTTACTCTTTTTCCTCTTAAATGTTGTAAGAATATTTAACCTCGCTTTAGCGCATCACTGTCAATCATGAAGAAACGATTTCACACACAGCTGCAGTACAAGAAAAGGAAATTACTTCTTTATTTCTTTCTTTCTTTCTTTTTAATTTATTAAGTTTTGACACTGGACCAAAATTGGCCAGTTATAAAATATATATATATTTTTTTATAAAATACCAGAAATATAAATAAAATACAGTCTCCAATAGATAAATAGTAATTAAATGCATTAAGCATAATAATTTTAAAAAACAATAATACAAAAAATATAATTAAATAAAAAGAAATATTTTTTATATCAATAAAAATTTTATTTTTATTTTTTATTTTTTAAATGTGCTTTATAATGTGTATTT